ATACTGAGAAGTTGTACTGTGCGAGGCTTCATATCCTCTGGGCATTACGACGCAGTTTCTCCGCATGGGCCGAAGAAATCGTCCTTCGCCTATTCACCTCGCTTATTAAACCAATCCTTGAATACGGTGCCCCAGCTTACCATCCGATAACCCAATGGGAAACTGAAAAGTTGGAGAAAATACAGCATCTCGCACCTAGAATGATACCCAGTCTACGAAAGCTTCCGTTTGAAAAACGTTCTGAAAGGTTCGGACTCTACACACTATCCTACCGCCGAGTAAGAATTAACCTTATTATGACCCATCGAGTACTATACTTGAATCGCTTCCCCAAACTGCGGCCAATATTTCACCTGCGGGATTAACAGAGGCCGATTCTGTGAAGTGTTTCAAAATACGTATCGGCGCTTATTTCGGAAATCTGTGCTTTTGTGAAACGGTGCAAAATTACATCCTATACCCGGAAGTAATGACACCAATACGAATTCCTAGCCGAACAAGAATAACCGATTAACTTACCAAACACTACCATTGACGATTCGCAATTAAATGTTTTTGATTTTTCATAATTCGGTAGAGTTGTACAGAAACTTTTCTACTTGCTCTTAAATACAGTCTCAGAACAGTATCTGTTTTCCTTTGGATAAGTAGTGAGACCCAAATTGGTTTGTGTCCACATTCAAGCCCATCCGTTGATTGATCGAAATACTGCTGATCGCTCTCAACATTGTTCCACCACACGGCCGATTTTGTCCTTGTTTGAACTCTTCAGACCGAGGTAGCCTGATCTTGAAGTGGCGTTTGTAAGCTTTCCACTTCGGATGCAGTCACATCGATAGGAGTGATCGAAGTTCGTTTCGAAATAACTCGTGGTCGGAATTAAGATTGGGTCCTGGCAAGTATAACACACAACACTGAACTCCTAATTGTTGTACCATTTTTTTCTCGGGGAACACAATTGCCCAGTGATCGAGGAGCCAACCACCAGCCATCGCTTCCAGCCACGACTGTCTGTTTGATGAGTCCAATCGAAGGCGAAAGCTTTACAGTATTGGGAGTAGGCATCGCTGATAACACTTTCCGCATCGAATGCTGTCCGAGATTTTTCTACCTACGAATACATCTGATTGATGTTGAGATTATTGCAAAATTACTACATCAGAGGCTTGCGCATATCCGCGTCTGGACATGTAGGATTGCTTGATTGTATAGCTCCTCTATCAACACCATAAGTTGCAACGAGCAGCGACACACCTACTTCAACAATAAAACGGACCCCAGAATACGTCGGACATAGGGGTCATCCGGCGCCTAATACCTACATACATTAACCGGTCGTTCACCAAGTCTTATAAAATGATGACTTTCCGATCGGTTCCAAACATATTCCAAGATATCGAATGGATGAATGGCTTAGTTTATCGCGGACACGCCTAATCTTGTAAGTCGTAGCCGCAAATGCTACTGATTGGATCTCGGCAGACGGATGACTGATTACCTTAGCTCTTATGCGTTTGTTCCCATCGCCTAAGTGTACCAGATCGGTTTATACTTGGGTCTATCGTTGTTTAGTACCGATGCAATGTTGGTGACAGATAACAGTTCGTGCTGTTGTAGTGCAATCCTCACCGACGGCATTTCACCGGCACAACGGAGATGACCCATGCGGGCTTCTCAATTTATCATCCTGTTTTTTCCATAGACACTGCGTGTGGTCGTTTTGTTGACATTTGGGTGCTATCTGACGAACTGGGGGAGGTATAGGTTGCAGTAATTCACAAGTGATGGAAGTTTTTTCTGTCACTTTTTTCCATCTCCTTGATGAATTTGTTATATTGGGTGAGCGACTCCACCGCATTCTTTCACTTCCATATTTCTATCCCCTTGGCTTTTTTAGTCCTGCTTACGATGCCTAGGATTGACTTTATTCGATTGATTCTTCACGATAGCCAGCTGTTTGTATGTTGACAACGTGTAGACGCCTTGACCCGCGTGTTTGTTTTGGGCATTAAGGTTTTACCGTAGGTCCTCTTATTGTCCTTCTTTCCGTAGGTGGTTGTGGTTGTACGGCTGCGAAGCGTTAGTTCAAGTGGCTTATGTACTTCAGTTTTTGGCTTTTCACTGAGATAGCACGAGTGCACGAGGTATTGTCCGTGCGCACATGAACCGTCTTCTGCAGAAAGTATGCCTAATGCCATCTGTGCTCAATACAGGTGGACAAGTTTGTAGACAGCAAATTTCTCTCATATAGATGGGATTGTATTGCGCTTACTAACCACTGGGGATTTACACAGTGACGACAAATTATCTCCGTATGTCTTCTCCTGGCGCCACACTATAAGGCAGCTACAATGGGACTGGGACTTGTCTGATGTAACGGTTTGCGCACCACTCCGATCCCTTTGCGTTTATCGTGTCTAGTGTTCATGGGCACTTTAGATCTGCTTCCACCAAAATACCCAATGATTAGTGATCAGTCTGCTGGTCTTCCTGGTTAAGTAATATGGCACCCATTTAATGGTAAGGTGATCCTACTTGTAGACCGTTGTCTTAGGGATAGATCTTTTAGTAGAACGCTTTGGATGAGCAACTCAGTCATTTCCCTGCCTACATTTGAGTCCCCTGACAATATCCCAGCATTCTTCGGGCCCATCTTTCATCAATCCTCACGCGCTTTCACAGGGGCCGCAATCGGCATGATAGTTAAGTGAAAATGGATTACTGTTGACACCCGTTTCGCTTGCCATCTGCATGCATGTCACCGCAACGGGCTAAGGTTTTCAACCGTCTGCACCTCCTTGTCAGGCCACAGTGATCGTGCGGCTCAACCTCCCTATCCTAAGACAGATAGTTCAACAAGCTGCACTTACACCCACACACACCGGTAGTTTTTGTGTTAACGTGTACTGCCTCTCCTAGTCTCGAATTCGTGCACTTTTCGTGATTGTCGAAATAATTTGCACTTACTTTCGTACTTTATTTGGAACCGATCGAGAGGTTTTTTTGTCAGGAGCAAAGCGTTACCAAACAACTTCATTAATTGATTCCTCAGAAAGCTCTCTGAAACCCTAGTTGCGCCTACCGTTTGTTCTCGCATTTATCTGAACTCTGCTGGCTCTATAGTATAACCTGTGTGTCATTTCCATTCGACGGCAGAATTTCCGCTAGACTCCAGTGAACATCTATCTATGAGTAACACATTGGACGGTATTAATTAAGGTTCATGCACGGATCAGTGCTCGAAGGTGCTTATCTGTGGCTGCCGTGTATTTACCAGCCGACCGCAGGCCTGCAACTGTCAATAACGCTCTTTACCGCTAACTTGGTTCTTCTGTGGTACTAAGAAGGCGGTTGTGAAGTAGTAGTGATATTGGTAGTAGTAATTTTTGCAACAGTCTGTTGTAGAGACATAGAGCCAAATAAAATCATGGAAATCCCCGCATCATAATCATGGCACGTTAGCTGAAGGTGAGCAACACACTTCATCTATTGGGACGCAATAAAAGAAAAAACGGAGAACTTTTGCTTATTTTGCACACGCCATTTTATCATTTTTTGCTTTCTTTAGTTGTTACGCTTTAAGTATTCGATTCTAAACAAGTATGCACACAAATCTTTCACTGATTTCGATTGCACGCTCTATCCTGAATTGTTTCCAACCATCGATACTCTTCGTACTTTGCACCCTAACCAGGATCCATCGGCGGCATGATGCGATCCAACTATGTGCGGGTGAACAATGATCACCGGCCGTTTCTAATCGTTACCGGTGTATCATCTGGGGTCTAAGTGACCTAGTCTATGCTTGTCCCGCGATGTAATTGGATATAGTACAGAATCTTGCGGCGAAGAACGTGGAGCGATTACTCAGCTCGCTTGCCTTACTAGTTCCTTTGACACCGATGAATCTACTGTCACTGCAATTAGCGTGCTTTTTAAAATTATTATGACTGTTTTTATGCCAGAGGGAGAGAGAAAATATATATATCGCTAGCTAAACGCCGTAACGGCGCTTCACTGCCTCGCGACCACCACCAATCGCGCCTGCACTGTGTATATCGCGAGGACACCCACCCGTACGCAGCGGACTTAAACCGATGACCTTATGGTTGCAAACCAGGCGCGCAGCCCACTCGATCACCGATCGATCTGTCCTTATGAACTATCTTGGACACTTCTGTGTCAGAAGTCGATTGCCACTGGCCCTTCTAGTTGTGTGTGCAATTACATAGTGTGTTTCGAAGCGAAGCTTTCCTTCTGTCGATACATTTCGCGGCACCTTGTCATCCGACACTTTTGGACAACGGCGTCAGCAGTACGCCGACACCACCAGTCGTGTGCGGACTATGAATAATACTCGGAGTTGAACCGGCTACATGTGATGATCTACCACCGGTCACTTGCCGACATTATTAGTGATGGTTATGTCACAGTATCAGCTCGACTACATAGGGATCACGCCTTAAAGTTATGTGTATTAGGGTATGCAGGTGTTCTCCGAGCTGGCTGATTTGGCTGCAAACGTTTCATCGTCAGGTTAGACGACATCATCGCACTGATGATGTCGTCTAGCGTGACGATGAAACGTTTGCAGCCAAATCAGCCAGCTCGGAGAACACCTGCATACCCTCATCCGCATCCCGAGCTACAAACAATCTCACGGATTTCTTATGTGTATTACTGACGGCTGTTGGTTACGCGGTTTATCCAATCTTTATGGTCGTTAATTGATTGATCTCTGTTCGACAACCCCGCATCAGTCATTGATTTAACCTTGTGCTTGCAACGCCTCCATTTCTGCTATCTATCTGTTGTCGTAGCCAATGCTGATTCTCCCGCGACCGACCGGTCTGATCGATCAGTCGAGTGATCGATCGATAGTTGTTTCGTCTGTTTTCCCAATCCTGATGCTTATTTTTGTTATGGTGGATACAAGATCTGTTTCGCAGTGGGCTATTGTAAACATTTTTAACCAGAGATTCTTTCCCATACCCCTATAGGTTCAGATTCGCCCGTGGAATTTGGCCGATTCTGATTTCGTGATGGATGGTTCACAGCCGCTAGATCCGCGTAAGACGATTTTTGTCGGTGGCGTCCCCCGGCCTCTCAGAGCCAGTAAGCCTACTGTTGTTGCTTTTTCGCTTGGTTTTTGCCTCCTCTCTTCGTCATCTTGATTATCGTGATCCACTCCATGTCGTATAACCCTACCTGATTTTCGTACATCTCTCTCATTCTATCCATCTGCCTGGAAGTGAAATTATGCCGCGGATTGTTTTCGAAGTGGTTTTTCGCATGCTGCCTAATCACCTATTTAACCTTCTTCCCTCCTTATGTGTCTCCTCTTTATATTGTTTTCGGTTATTTTGCTTGTTTCTCTCTCTCTTTCTCCGATACACACTTCCGTGACTATGAATATAGACTCGTGGAGCTGTACGTGTTTCTGTACCTCTTCGCTAAATCATCCAACCTCAACTTCCCATTTGCAGCGAAAATATAGTTGAAATTTACCACACATCCAGAAAGAGTACAAGCGATAGACGTCTCTTGGCCTTCGATTTAACGAATTACTAGTCATTGTACAGGGACTGTTCACTCTTTGTATGACCGATGCTATGGGAATCACCAAGTAGCATTAGGAGAAGGGTTTTTACACCATCTGGATATTTGATGGTTGGCCGTATTATAGCACAAAAAGTCTCTCTTAAAGACGTTTCCTGGCACTAACTGAGGAGCAGATTGGCACTGACTCGAAATCTTGATTCACCCAAGTGTTACGGGCGATTTCCATGCTCTTCTCTTCCCCTGTTGAAGCCATGCATTCCACGAAGTGGTAGACGGTTAGTGAGGTGTATTTATTCACAGTCTGTTAACAAACATTGTGCCATCAGAACAATAGCAGAAGAAAAAAGTGGAGAAGATAGAAGCACGAACTGCGATAATAAAAAAATTGACAATGATTTTTTTGGTTTTACACACGCCATTTTGAATTTTTGTTTTGTGAGTTTTTTGTGTGTATTAAAGGGGGGGTATAGTGGCAGAACAACATTGACGCCACTGATGTTCGTTGCGGGCCATGACGTCCGATGTTTCCATCCACTGAGATTCAGCATCTCGTGGTCCCCAACCTGTGTGTCACTCCAACTGACTGTAGCATGGACACTTTCTTATCGAGAATAGAAACGGATGAGCCGTTTGGGTCTATTCGCGACTACTCTGTGTTGCTGATTCGGATGAACTCCGAACTTGTGGCACTTCACCCGACAGTGGCCAATTTTGCCCCTCAGATCTACACGAGTATGCCCATTACTGTTCGGCCCTAAGGGTGCAGCTGAGTTTAGAATTCAGCACCCATGCTATTTCATAAATGTTGTCCTATCCCAGCTCATCGATTGCAACATAATACAATGCGTAGTGACGAGGAAATGCTCTGTGACGGTTATCATTTCGTCATAGCCAGATGTAGGCAACCCAGCGCTGTTTTGTTGTCTCAGTACCTCCTAGTCCTTTAAGTTTTGAGTTGGAAATGGGATCGTGTCCATTCTTGTGTAACTAGATCGTTGCCATCTTCACGCTGTCTTACGGTCAGGGTTTTCAGCCAAAGGCTTTGGTTGAGGACCTTGCTCTTTTCTCCTTTAGGTTGGGGTGCCCTAACAGCATCTCAGCCCACATACAACCATGACTATTTCATCGAACTTCAACCACACCGCGCTATTACGAACGGATCGTCTTATTTACTGTATACTACAGGGCTGAGCAGCGACAACTTGATGCCACTGATTGCTTCCGTCTCTTTCCCACCTATATTGTGCCTCTCCTGACTCCCACTGCTAACCTTCCTTTGTTTCCCTGCTTAAATGACAGCAGATACAATGTATCGGGGGTTCTGTCACCTGCGGCTATCTTCCCATATTTCACACTGGATTCCTACCATCAGCACCCTTCTATCAGGGCACTGTTCGCCATCACTCTAGGCACATTAAACGTCCGTATTGTATAACAAGTAGGTCAACAGGCTGCAATCGCACGCTTATTGGATATCGCGTATTGGCATTCGCCCTGTATCCAAAAGTAGGGTCAATGACCCTGACGCGGTTGTTGCAATAACTGCGTTCGACTTCTCCTCGTTTTGTTGATTACACAAATCTGAATCATCAACATCAGGAATGCATCATTAATTTTAATCAGCACTCGCTGCTGGAGACGATGATACGGAAACTGCTCGTCAAGCTGGAGTGCGCATCCTCACCTCCAGATCTGAATCCTTGCTAGTTACTTTGATTCCCGTTTGATGAGATCAAGTAAGAAATTACCACCTGTTACTTCCACTGACTGCACTCCTGACGCTGTTAAGAATACGTTCTATTACGAAGGTAACGCTCTGCTTCGCAGGATGTTCAGCAAGCAGGCCGTTTGAGCTCCGTAGAAGCTTATCTAGGAGATCAATTCGGGTTTAATTTCGTACGCGCAAACAACGATGAGCGTTTGTTGCAACTGCGCATTAAACATCGGCCCTTACTTAGCAGCGCGGTGTTCAGACACAACGGGTGACGAAGTGACACATAGCACTCGGCGATAGCTGACCGGTTATGGACTCAGGTGGACCACATGACTGTAAGGCCTAAATGACACGGCCCCATCAGGGACTACTGCTACTGCTGAAACACATACGTCGATTCTGATCGTTCCATAGTTTACTGCCGATTTTTCATACAGTTCGCCGAGAAGTGTATCGACAAAATTGAGCGGCTATCCTGACCATCAGTCAAGTAAGCCTAACAGGATACTGTGCACACAGATTTCACTTAATTGCTTCGGCGAAATCGTGCTTCATTCTCATCGAATCTTAGATGTTACAAACGAACAGATTTCTATACCGCCGTTTCTTCACAATCACTCAGCATCAATTTTGTGGGAAATAACGACTATGGTTGATTCCAACTCTACGTTGACAGCATCTGTTTAACTAAGTACGAGGCTTCCGACGAAATGCTTTATGAACTTCTGCTCTGAGAAGTACGAAAACAGTTGGCGGGCGATCGATGCTCAAGTTCGGTTCTGTGCATCAGCGTGGCATTATCCACTGTGGCGTACTCAACTCTTCGTCACTTTCGATTCACACCAGTCATGCTGTTAATCGTGTTGGCTATGGCACACAATCCACAGTTTCCAATAACATCAAAGTCTGTCATACTTTATGCGGGATTATCTGCCATGGGACTATGAGGTAATTCGGTCATATATCCCCCTACTATGGATCACGAGCCTGCCTTGTAATCTGAGGTCACGGGTTCGTCATTCGTTTTTGCTCTACCTATGGATATGCCGTGGTATACCACGTAATTTATCTCATTTGCGCCGACTTCCAGCGTCTGGCAGTCACCCAGAGGAGTTAAAATAAAACTAAAATAACCGCATCAAATCTGCATTATTTGAGGCACGTTTTCTATGGCTTCATCATTCGGTTACACGGAATGACATACATCGGTCACATGTCGATCGGTACTGTGCATTGCCTCAGACTCCTCACGATTCTGACTAGCTACCCGGCAACTGCAGTCTCGAACAGATGGATGTTGATGGCAGTCTGATCGAATCTATATACTAGGAACACCATCGGAACCAATTCAGTTCCCCTTAGCATCACCTCTTTATCAGGACTGCTTACAACGTCATTGGCTTCAGTTTGCGGAGCTGTTGATCTAGGAGCTTCCCTGTGTTCCGCACGGCATACACGAGGCTCTTAGGAGTGGTTTGTGTTGTGTCTCCACAAACAACTAATCCACATCGAATGCAGGCACTAGCAATTGCCCAGCAGCTTGAGCCACTGTGCAAAAGATTCTCCGCTGCCCAACTTCTTTGACAAGCAAGCATTGCTAAGGAATTCTAAAAAGACACAAGCACCCTCTTAGTTCTCTTTTTGATGTTGTTGGTTGAATATCAAATAAATGCTTGTTCACCTTTATTTGTTTTTCTCCCATCGATTTCGTTACTGATTTGTTGTTCGGTGCTTGTACGATGAAAAATATTTAAACTTCTGACGACTCATCCATAGGTAGTGCTCAGTCATCATTTTTGTGTGAACTTTCATTTCCAACCTTCTTACCCCTCTTACTTAAAGGAACATGTCACTTCAATTATTCTATTCTATCCTCCACCACCGTAGAGTATAGTATAGTGAGAAATAAAGTGTTTTTTTTGTAACCCCGTTATCTTTCCTTCGGTGGATGGCTTTTTAACGCTACTTTTCGGATAGCAGTCCTAATGGCCTTATCCAGTCTCCTCCGAAAGTGGTTCCTTTGCCACAGTTCCGTCGCCACGGGACTGGACCATAACGTGGTGCGACGGTTTACGTACCTCGTCGACCCATTAAGCTATACTGGGTGGTGCCTCTGGTCCCCCCACCAGGTTGGTCAATGGTTAGAAGTCAGACAGACTCCGTCTGCTAGTCCTCCAGGTTGGAGGTTTGGAATGGAGTGCTGCCCATTTCAATAAAACCAAACCATTTCCACCTCCCCACTGCCTTGAGGACAGGCTTTTGAGCCAAAGGCTTTGATTGAGAACCCTAATCGTCCTCCTGTCTAGGTCTGGGGGCCCTGGCAGTATCTCAGCCCACATACAACCATGACTTTTCCCCAGACTTCAACCACATCCTTCACCGACCGTCGCGCAGATTATCAAGGTTTGCTTTATCTGCTGCATACAGCAATGCAGACAAGCGAACACATGCCACTGTTGGCGCCTCCCTTCTTTCCTTTCCACTTGTTTCTCTTACTCCCATCCTGACCCCCATTACTAACCCTCTTACGATTCCGCGTTTCATTGATAGCAACCGCAATGCTACTGGAGTCATACCATCCGCAGCTATCTTCCCGCATCACCAACTGGACGCCAATCGCCAACAACGTATAAAGTCACCCGTCCCGTTTCGTTAGTGGCGTTCAACGTTCGCACTGTACGACAAATAGGTCAACAGGCTGCACTCGCACGCACATTGGGCAAACTGGGTGTATGCGTTTGTGGTTTGTTCGAAGCTAGAATCAATGACCCTCACGGGATTGTTGAATTAACTGCGCCCAGTTTATCCTCTCGCTATTGGTTGCACGCAACGGAAGACG